TTGTGCAGGGGCCTTGTTAATCTTCTCTGTATCGTTCCAGTTTCAACTTTCGAACGGAAGTCTCAAAGGACCTCTCTCTCTCTCTCTCTCTCTCTCTTTTTTTTTTTTTTCTTTCTTCTGCGGGGAGGAGGGTTTGAGGGGCGTTGAAGAGGTGCTGACGCCTGGGCTGTTTGTGGATTCTGTGTGCGCAGGTGAAGTTGTCGATGGCCCTGGCGAAGCAGGTCTTGCAGTCTCTTACGATGGCTGTTTGTGAATACAGTCCTGCACAGAGAGAGAGAGAGTGTGTGTGACACTGTGTGTGTGTGTGTGTGTGTGTGTGTGTGTGTGTGTGTGTGTGTGTGTCTCCAAAGAAACATTAAAATAAAAAATAGGCGCAACCCCCCAGCGCACCAGCCCTGTGCGCAGCGCGCACCCCCCAGCGCACTAGCCCTGTGCGCAGCGCACCGCGCACCCAGGTGCGCGCCGCGTGCGCGCGCCCCTCGGGTTCGCGCACCGCGCACTGCGCAGCGCACCGCGCAGCAGGGTCGATGCGCCGCAAGTATGGTGTAAGGGCTACTGGTGGGGTTTTTTCAGAGCAAGCAAACTGAGAAAAGCTCTGGTGTCCAGAGGATCAACTATGCAGGATGTTGAGCAATAGCCCCTGATGTTAAGAGCTAATTCCTCCTTCCCTCTTTTGCCCCCACACACCCCACACACCTTAACTGTGCCGGATAGGCTCACGAATTATTTCTGATTCTCACGAGTACGGAGGATGTAAACAACTGGCGCATGGCAACTGTCTGGCGCCCACCAAACTTTGCCAACATTGACGAACTCAGGCCATATTGAAATTCAGGGGCCCGCCTTCACTTAGGGCGGGCTCATGCTTGCTGAAAGGGCCCTACAGGGGCATGCCCAGGCGCTAACTCGTAACAAGGCCTCGTCGAAGATCCATGCTCACATGGGGGTTCCAACAGGCTCTACTTGGGCCCCTCAGCCTGGTCTCATAGCCCTATAAACAGGCATTGGCACATATTTGAAGGCCCGCCTTCACTTAGGGCGGGCACGGCACTTTCAGACACTGTCGAGGGACTAAATCCTCGCACTATTTTTAACTCGAAAGAAATAGAAATAGTTGGTGTTGGAAAACTGGATCAGTGTGCAGAGCATGCAGAGTCTGCAGAGTACAGAGAAAACTCAGAAAATAGCTTTTTTTGGGTTCCCGAAAATCAAGTGCCAGTAACAATAGCAAGTTTGAAACCAATGAAGCGCAGAGAGACATCGCTTGATAGGAAGGGAGACACGAAAGGAGCGCAATGCCGAACGACAATCATCACATGCGAACATTGTTTGGTTTGCGCGTACACCGTTTAGCACTTGACTTTCTTCTTCTTCTTCTTCTTCTTTTTCTTAACAAAAACGCAATTTGAGATTATTTGACATCCTACCTGGATAAGGTCCTTGCGATCTATGTCTTCAAAATAGCTGTCGCCATAAGCATCCATTTCCTCTTTCTTTTCATCCCTTGTTTTCTGGGACAAATAGAGGTAATGCCTGTCACAGCCACACATTTTACAATTTCAATTTCCAAACCCATAACATATTCTTTTAATTTCTTTCCACAGGGAAACCAACCAATCCACATGTCTTCTCTTTCAGGAAAATACTGTCAAATAGTAGACGGTCGATCCGACTTTTTTTTTTTCCTTTAAAAAGGGGGTTAGCCCCTATTATTATTGTGTATCCATCAGGATTAGTCAAAGATTGGATTAGTCAAATGAACCCCTGACAGCTTTGCCGACCTCTCTTCTAATAGAAAACAGATACTAGCGGCTTCAAGACCCTAGTAATACTCGAAAGTGGGTCTTGAAGCCGCTAGAAATACAAAGAACAACTTTGTATTTCTGAGGGCTTCAAGACCCAATTGTAGTAAAGAAAAACAATCATAATAGAAAAACTTAAAAAAATATATTTCTAGGGGCTTCAACAACAAAAGTCCCTAGCAATACAAAGTTGTTCTGATCCTACCACACTCGCAATGCAAAAAACTCAAATTGGGAGAAAATGAAAGACTCGCTGAAACTCAAAAAAGGAGAAGTGGACAAAGATCAAGAGCGGTATAGAACGAAAAGAATAAAAGAAGAAGAAGAATGACACAAGTTGAGCAAATTTCTTCCCCCTCACTGCTTCCTTCTCTCATCTTCTTCTCCCTTATTCATCTCCGACTATTACCCCTTAGTGCCAGCACTCAAAGAGTCCTCCTTCCAGCCATAACCTCACTCCTCTATCCTCAGTTGCGACTACCACTAAGGCGGGGTGAACATCTGGGCTCATCTCGGATGTTCAAAGGTGAACCAATCTCTACCATGTCTCTCACATCTCATTACGCCATAGCCATGCTCCAGAAGATCAACTGATACCCACACACTGGCACACAGGGGCCTTCAATATGCAGCACCAACCAAGGAAGTGAAGATGAAGCTCAACCATAGCCACAGGGTGCGTCTCTCATGTCGGTTCCCCTCTCTCTCCCCTTCCTCATCCTCTTCACTCCTCATACACCCTTCTCCACAGCCTCACATGGAGCGCTTCGCCCTCTACCTCCAAAGCCATGGCCTACTCCCTCCTACTACTACCCCTCCATAGCCAGGGAGGTCTTCTTCTCCAGCCTCCAGCTCCACTGCTCAGCAGAAGCTCCGTCACCCTTTTCCATAGCCTGGCATGGGGAGCTTCACCCTCTACCTCCAAAGCCACGGCCTAGTCCCTCCTACTACCACCCCTCCATAGCCAGGGAGGTCTTCTTCTCCACCCTCCAGCTCCACCGCTCAGCAGAAGCTCCCCCAACATTCACCCTCTGGGTGAAGCAGCAGTATGACTGCCGGGTTAAGATACTGGTTCACTCGTTGTGCCCGAATGATATACTCTTGTGGCTCGGCCTCACAGCTTCACTTGGGCTGCGACACCCCTGCCTCTCTAGGGTACTAGGCCTATTGAGAAGTTTGTGCCTTTGGCAGGAACATCTTGCAGCCTGCCAGTCTACCTCAGGGGCCTGAATCTGACCTGCATGATTTCTAGGTTCAGGCCCCGACTACTCACGACCTTTTGGAAGCTACCCGGTCTTTCTAGGCCTACGATACTTCAGCTGGGCCTACCTGAGTTGCGGGAAAATCTCTACCGGGTACTACCCAAATTCTACTTGTGCCCCTGTCCGTCCTGGCCTTTCTAGAAGTCCGTGCGGTTCCCAATTTCAGTCCTGCCTGCGCTTCCCTTACTTCTAATCTAACCATCCCAGGGGCAGGACTGAAATTGGGACAGAAAACGCAGGGCAAGCACACAGTTAGTACTCAGCATAGCAATCATCACACGGACTTACACACATGCAAGCAATCAGCAAACCCACACAGAACACGGAAATCTCAGCAAATCCGAGCAGCAAGCAGCAATACTCAGAAAGCAGCGTAAATGTCAGACTGCTCCTGTGTGGGTCATTGCAGTTACACAAACTGATTGTAAGTTAAGTGACCAATTGATTGCATAAAGAGCTGCAAGCAGAGGGAAAACAGGTGTGTGAAGGAGAGATAGAGAAAGGAATAAAAAAGAAAAACGTCGAGGCCCGCAAATATTCCAGCAAGGTCAGAATTTGTCCCCCCAAAAAGGGTTTTGTATGCCAGCAGAGCTACAAATGAACTCAACCATTTACCACACAACCCTGACGGTAATTGTTTTTTTCGACTCTTTTGGGTTTTCTGACCTTCTCGGTCTTCATTTTCGAAAGGGGGTAGGTGCTAACATTTTAGGGGTCATGATGTGTCCATCCATCAGCAGCTACAAGTGTGAAATTGTGAATCATTCATCAGCCACAAGGCAAGTGCTCAGACTATGTCAGCGCTAAAAAAAGTGTCAAATAGAAGTCAAGCTTAAATCAGCCAAATAAGTTAACCGTAGTCAAACGAAATCAATCGAAACAGCTAACTGACAGTCGGGATCCCATTTCGGGATGAGAGCATTTGGTGGAACAGGTGAACCATTCCGGTCAAATGGGACAGAGGGCTCGTAGTACCTAACTAAGTGAATCAGCAGACGGGAGGGAGCCTAAATCGACGGACTTGGGTAGTCCAACTAAATCAGTCAATGCTCCCGTACTGATGCACCGTCGTTGCAATGTTGGCAATCCAACCCAGCACGAGAGGAACCGTTGGTTCGCACAATTGGAAATCAGTCAATGCTAACAGTCGTCAGTCCAAATCAGTCGGAACGGTTACCTGTAGTCAGTCCAAATCAGCCAAACAAGTTGACCATAGTCAGACTAAATCAGTCAAAAAAGTTAACCATAGGGACATAGTCGGACTAAATCAGTCAAAAAAGTTAACCATAGTGACATAGTGCAATAACCCATTCATAATGTCTCGTTGAATGGCTAAGGGGCCCACAGGCCGCGACCCCGTTCATTACGCCTCGTTGAATGGCTAGGGGGCCCACAGGCCGCGACCCCGTTCATTATGCCTCGTTGAATGGCTAAGGGGCCCACAGGCCGCGACCCCGGCTTTTGGCCGAGAGGTTGAAGGGGCAGAAGGCCTCTTCGAAATAGCCCCAGGGCCTGAGCGCCCGACAGTTGACTTCGGTCAACTGCCTAAGGTCCTACAGTCAAAGTGAAGATGGACCCAGCCCAGGCTGCCGGTCAGACACACTCACTTGTTTGCATGGAGGTACCAAGACAGCGTCAGGACCAAGTGGAAGTCTGCAACTGTATACTATCCAGGCCCTCGGCTGTGAGTCAATCTGAGCCACCGTGGGTGGGAGACCTGAGGCCAGTTGGCCTCGTCAAACACTACATAAGGCTTGGTCTCCAGGGAGTCAACATTAAGTCTTGCTATGCTGCCTTGACGCTGGCTGGACGCTGGCTTGACGCTGGCTGGACGCTGGCCTGACGCTGGCTGTGTGCTGGCACTGTGGACGACGACGCAGGACTGAGGTGACACGCTGGCGCTTTCTCTGTTGAGCGCCAGCCTTTGCTGATGTGGCGCATGCCACCTGTCTTCTTTGCAGATGTGGCGCATGCCATCTGTCTTCTTTGCTGATGTGGCGCATGCCACCTGTCTTCATCGCTGATGTGGCATTGGCCACAATGTCTACATTGGGTAACTGGTCGCGACAAGGAGGGAGATCAGGATCTGTGGATAATTGATCGGAACGGGATACTTACCTGAGCTTGACATCGATACTGTGCGCTGCTGATTGTCTCCATTGTCTTCACGCGAGAATAGTGCCACGTGGCACTTCGATGTGACCAGAACTTGTCAGACTCATTACTGGGTACTGTTTGCTGACGTGGAGGCAATGGGAAGCCCGGAGAAAGAGTGGGAAATGTTGGGCTACTCTTTTGGTGGTCATTGATGATTGCTATCTCTTCCACCCCCCTATCTGTCTATTCCCCCTCCACTCTCTTCGTCTACTGGTAACGAGACATTGTATCAGAGGTCACATTCATGATTATTGGAGACATTGTCCAGATCTGAGTTGTCTTGCATTTCGATGTCTGA